GTTTTCCACTCCTATAAACCAACCGAAATGGGCAGAAGTGGCCCATTTGTTTATCACTGTTTATTCGTCTCTGTTGGTTTATTAGTTTGTGCTGTGCAACTCTGTTTGCCTCCAGCTTGCTTGACAGCTTGCCTCCACTGGGAATAGAGTGGCCTCGGTGTCCCAGCTCTAAATATACACCAATTTTCACCTAATGTTCAGTTTGTTTAAAGTCAGCGCTGTCTGGGAAAACCCTGGAAGGCACTGAGGATATTGTGGATTTTTTGGTGTTGTAATGCAGCTGAAAATTTAGTAATAGCCCAAAAGTTAAATAGACAGTATTTGTTGAATACTAACAGTTAGACTTTACTGCTTTGGAGGCTTTGTTGTTATTATAGATATTTTTGGATGTCAAATTATAATACTTTTAAATTCGGACTCAGTGTTGTGCATATTGCATGTTAATCAGTCTATGACATGGCTTAAAATGTCACCAGTTTATTTATTTATATGTGTATTTGACTGATTCACTGGTATTTCTGATCTCATCATCTTACAGTTTTGGAATAGAACATCACAATATTAATAGATGCAATTGGAGAATTCATTTTCTAATCGTCCATTTTGCAAAGCTGTGACCTTTTGATTTTAACTGTAGCCAATTACCTTTTATTCTCTTTAACTATAAGTAACATAAACCTGTTTTTTTTTCTTTACAACATTATAAAACACAATTAACATAACAATATATTGGGTTTTCTTGAACAAAATAATAGCTTTAATCAAAATAGTTTTTTACTAGCGGTTTTTCAATAGATGAAAATTCTCTGTTAGATGACAGTCTGTACAAGTAAACCTTAACTAAAAAGGATTAAACTGCTTTTCTTTCATGACTTGTTATGAAGTATTAGGTTAGGAGAAAATGTCACACTGGATGCTTGAGATGTGAACGTTATATAACACTGCAGGCAAAATTTCAAGATTATTTGAAAACAAAAAAACAAAAAATAAAAGAAACGATTGCACGTTTGACATTTCAAGATGTCTTTAGTAGCTCATATTGATGATTTACATCAGCGAAGGGGTTAGCATCACTAATCAATGGATTTATCTATGAAATCCATGTTAGATCCTTAATTTATCTGGATACTTTACATAAAGCCTGATAAAATTTTAGAAAACTGTGTTTTTCATTGCAGATTTTTAACCTTAATAGAAAAAATGAGCAACCTTTCTATGATGTGTTCAGCCTTTCTGTTATTCACTGAACCCAATGGACAATGATGAATGTAATAGAAAAACAGTGAAAATACTTCTGTAAAATACATGCTTTCTTTTCTGGATGATTATTTTAACATTTGTCCCCCATTTTAAATATTCCACTTACACTGAAATTAGCTAAATTTAACAAATACAGTAAGAAGTTTAAAACGCAGATGTTGAAAGAGTGTCCTAAAAACTCAAAACAAATTTTTTCTACCCTGTTCTCTGTGTATTAATATGAACAATATAAAAAAAACATATGTATTTTGATAAAATCATTCCCTATTTGTAATAAGCCAATTGCCACATCTCTAAAACATAATAAAAATTAAAATCTGAACCACTTCAAAATAAAAATATTAATCTGATTAGTGCATGGAGTAAAGTCAATACATTGCCCTCTAACATCTAACTCTGACTCTAATGTGATTAGCTATTAGTAATATAGTAATAGTTACACTACTGCTACTCCCAAAAGGAATAAAAGTTAAAAAAAAAAAAAAAAAAAAAGAACTTATGCAATTTTGGTAGATATGTCACAAAATGGGTAGAATAAAAAAATAAAGCATACTTTTAAAATTGTCAAACAATATGCATCATTTATAATGAAACTATCATTGCTTTGGACATTAAGGATGGCGAGCACATGAAGTCAGAGCCTTAATGGGCCAAGTTTTTAATAACCAGACTTTGATATTTTCCTTTTTTTTTTTTTTTTTTTTCATTTTTAGTATTTTTTGTTAAAGCTACAGTGTGTAATAATTACAGGGATATACAGTCAGAAATGTAATATATTATACATAACTATGTTATTTATCATCATCTACGAGCTCAGCCTCTTAACCTTAATATTTGCGTTGCCTTAGAATTCGTTATTTATAATTACATAGGAGCGGGTCTCGCAGCCATGGAGGCAGACATCTTTGCGCTACGGCAGCGCAGAGCCAACAAACTAGCGATTGCGAGATCGCCCATTACGCTCGAAAGTAACTACGGCAAGTTGAGAGAGATGAACTGAGACGGTACTGAACACACAGACTAATGAAATACTATCTGTAAAATTATCTATGTAAACAAACCTCATCACTTGAGAAGGTAGGTGATGCGGACGTCGTGGAAGACATTTTGTCCCGTAACGCTCGCCGTACTGTTGGGGGGGAGAAGCGGTGGGGGGAGATGTTCATGTTGCTGCGGTCTGCAGTCTGGACGTTAGATGTCGCTGAAAATTACACACTGTAGCTTTAAGTTAATCTGTTTAGTGTATGGATGCATTGCAAAGGTACGAAAACAAAAACACATATTGAGAATCTGCTCGGCCCACCTGGAAGGAATTTGGGTTATGAAGAAACTTTTGATCCAATTTGAAAAAAAATAATGTTTTATCCTTTTGACTTTTTCCAACAGTAAAGGTTTGAGAGAGAGAAAGTGGAAGTTCATTTAACAGTGGTGGGCCTTAACATTTCTTACAACTACCTTATGGTCCTCAAAGTTCCTTTTGAAATGAAGAATTTTGTTTCCACTTTGTTTGCAGTGGGTCCAGAAAAGTGTAATGACTCCCATTTGTTGACGATTGTTATCAAGACCTTTACAGAGATAGCTGTCAGCAGAGGGTTCTCAGTTCAAATGGCTTTATGTTGTGTATATATAAGTGGTAGATGACTCAATGCAGTCAAAACATCCCTCTAGCAGACAATGGAACAGCTGAGTATTAATTAACAGAAGTGCAGTTCACACCTCTAAGTCTGGAGTCTTTTTCACAGAATACTTTAGAGGCAGTTCTATTTCTGACTGAGCTGCTGTGCATGACAGAAACAACTCAAGGTTCCTTGTGTGCTGTTGTTGAGTGAAAGTAAAAGAAGCTTTTTAACATTAAACTGAGGCAGAGTCTGCAGAGAAGTCAGCTTTTTTTCAAGACAATAGAAAACTATCAAATTAGCACTATGCTTAAGTTTTAGCCCACACACACATATATATATGTGCTCCTCTATTTTATAGAAAAGGACACTTTGAGAGGGTTGGGAATATTGGAAGATTGCCTTCTGGACATTACCTCAGAAAATGTTTTGGGAATTGTCTAAATAGAAAAAGGCTTCAGGGTTCCCTCACAACTTTCTGCAAATTTGTGACTGGCTCAGTAATTTACTAGAAAAGCTAGATGTTTAAACTAGGGCTAGAGGTTCCTATGTTTTTATGAAAAGTTCAAATTGTTTGTCAGCTCTGGTAATAGCTGAACAAGTAGCATACATTCATCTTTTTATATTTTTTTAAGATGAATCGACTTGTCAAACTTTATCAGAAATGTATTTACTATGTGCACCAGTTAAGTAAACTTTATATAAAACCGAAGCTCAGCTTCATTGCTTTGCAACAGTGTTCATAATCCTTAAAATGCTACATGAAAATGTCTCACAAAAGGTAGAAGTCAAACATTAGTCTATTTTGCTGGTGTTTTATTTAGTAGACCAATCCATGGTAAGAAATTTAACACGATTTTTAAATGTTTTACCTATATATATATATATATATATATATATATATATATATATATATATATATATATATATATATATATATATATATATATATATATATATATATATATGGAAAGTAGAGCATGCTTGTGTATTTCGAAGCCCATACTTCTAAATCCAATACTTGGTGACCAGCATTCTGCAACCTTTAGGCTTTTCTCTATTTTAACACATCTACATGAAGACATCAAGGTCATTATAAGGATTCAGTTGAACTAACTGCATGCTGGGGAGGTCAATCAGCTATTTGAAACAGCTTTGTTGGCCCAGGGACAGATTTATCTGTCCTGCATTTTTTAGAAGTTTCTCCTCTTTTAACATACCTGATTTAACTGTCAGAAGCAAAAGTCTATTAATCATAAATTAATGGAAATCGGATATATTTGAGCAGAGACAGATCTAAAACACACAGAACACCAGCCCTGATCTAGTAGAATTTAACTTTAAGTCACTTGTAAAACTAGTAAATCTGGGCTGCTGTGTGAAGCCCTCAGAGGTTTGTCAGACAACACTAGTGAATAAACACCATCATTTACGGTAAGAAACACAGCTCAGGGGTAAGGTTTTGAGAAGGTTTACAGCAGGGTTATAAAGATTATTGTATGACTGAAAAACTTCCACAAAATGGTCCAGAAAAGCCTTTTGGGTAGATAAGGGAAGCAGCCAAGAGACCAATGTTAAACCTGGAGGAGATCAGTTCAGTTTAGGCCATAGGAGATGGAATAATAAGAGGTTCTCTGATCAGGCACGATAAAAATATAAAATTTCAGTCAACATGCAAAGTACTGTGTGTGAAAGAAAAATCTCTACTCCACATCACCTAAATGTGTGTTGTTCTTTTACATAAAAGAAATCCCACGAAATATATAAATATTTGTGAATTTGAGATGATGAAAGGATGAAAAAGTGGAATGCCTTTGCAAACACTGCAATAGCAATTCCTAATTGTTGGTTTAACTGTGGGTAAGTATTCAGTACGCTATAGGCTTTTTTTCAATATATGCAACATACAGTAATAAATGCACGTTTTACAAGTATGCAAAGTAATATGTCTGATTATTTGACAATTTTCTAGAATTTCAAAAAAGGCTCTTATGTTTAGATAGGATGAGTTCTTATGTTGCAGTATCGTGATCATCATGATAACTTTAATTAAAGTTTCATCCAGTGCTTGTGTGTATGAGATTCTGACCTCTCCTTCTTCTGTTAACATTCCTCTTACCACAGCCCGGGTGTGTGACAACGAACTCCTGCGTTGCCAAAATGGCGGGGAGTGTGTGAACAACCGCTGTAGCTGCCCCCCCTCCTACACAGGCCTGCTGTGCGAGAAGCCCCGCTGTGAGTCCGAGCTGGGGGGTTGCAAGGGGCCCGATTCAGGCCAGGCTCCCCTGAAGCCTCCTTCACTCTACAGTTTGCTGACACTACTGCTGCTGGGTGCCGCATTGCTGAGAGCCCCCTGCTGGTCCGCCATGCTCTGAAGGGACCTATTCCTGAGTGGGAGCGACTCTCACTCCCACCACCTTCACCTTAGCCCTCCCAAACCTTTCCTTACAGATAATCTACAACCATTTTTTTAGAAAAAGAAAAATCATTAGCTTTCTGGACTGTGACGCACTGAGCTTCTCGCTGCCAGACTCGGTGCTGACAATGACGAGAATGTGCCAGACTAAAGCAAAAACTTTTAATTTAATTTCAAAGAATATAAAGTAAAGAGTATACATCTAAAATAAAAAGATATTATTAAAAGTATGAATAACTGAGTATTTGCCTGATAAATCAAAGAACGGTGAGTCCCCCCCCTTTCCCTCTCTAAGCCATACCAGGTTCATGAGATCCTTCCAGTGTGAGGAGGAATAACTCAACATGACAGACTTGTTCACTTCCTTTCTTATTGCCACGGCAACAACAGCTGCAGCCAATCAGCTCTCGCACAAGCCGACGGTGGCCCGTGGATCCCAGCCTCCCCCCCTTAGGGACGCTTGTGCAAGGAAATGTTTGCTGGACTGGCGACGATGAAGAATATGAATAAGAGAAAAAAAAACCTCCATGCTGAGCAGCGAGGAAGACCGTCCTGAGAGACGAACTGTTACACTTCAAGGCAATGACAAACAGAAAAAGGTGAACAAAAGCAACAAAAAAACAGAACATTCTTTGCTGTCATTGGATTCTGGATAGAAGGAAATCTGTCTGGATTACCTATTTGTGACACAAGAACTTTGCTCCTGTTAACCCAAACATGCCACACCTTCACAGGTTTTCTGTCGCGTCATTCCTCCTGTTCAGCCCCTGTACCTCAAATCCCCCCAACCCACCCACTCCTGGCACGCTGCCACTGACCTGTGCATTTGTGAACGTTACTCTGTAAACCCTTGTTGGCTGAAAGATTCTTTTGTCCAATGTTAGTGATGCACATGTGTAAGAAGCTTCCCCGGCCCCCTCTCACCCCTTCCTCTACTTCCAAAAAGATAATCCAGTAAAGCTGTCCGACTCCTCTTCTGTCTTACAGCCACCTTGCTCCCTGCAATCGTGGACAGAGGGTAATTTCTACCCTAAGCAGACAAGAAGCGCATAGAGAACCATCAGTGTATTTGCAAAGTTTTTTTTTTCCTTGACAGAACAAAAAATAAAGAGTCATGTAGTCCTTTTTGTATCTCTGCCAAACTGTGATTGAAAAAAGGCAACCTTTAACGTATCTATTTAAGACATCCAAATGCAGAAGCAAGGCTCTTCTGCTCTTTTTATTTCCTTTTTTTTAATTGATCATTATTTTATTTTATTTTTTTAGTTGTGCAGTTGATTTCCCTTTGTATTGGCAACGTGCTGGCATCAAAAAAATATTAGTTTACATATAAAGTATTAATAAAGTGTATTAAAATCCCACCAAAGGACATTCTAAATGTTTTGTTCTTGCTTTAACACTTGAAGATTTAAGTGAATAAAAGTCTTAAACAAAGCTGTCTTGAGCATTCATGAGTCAGTTTTCATTGTTTAATTTCAATTATCTAAAATGTTGCTTTTATTGGTTTATATTATATAATTGTTCCTCTTTTGGTAGAAATATTCCCTGTTTTAGATTATTGACTACTTAAAGCTACAGTGTGTAATAATTACAGGGATATACAGTCAGAAATGTAATATATTATACATAACTATGTTATTTATCATCATCTACGAGCTCAGCCTCTTAACCTTAATATTTGCGTTGCCTTAGAATTCGTTATTTATAATTACATAGGAGCGGGTCTCGCAGCCATGGAGGCAGACATCTTTGCGCTACGGCAGCACAGAGCCAACAAACTAGCGATTGCGAGATCGCCCATTACGCTCGAAAGTAACTACGGCAAGTTGAGAGAAATGAGCTGAGACGGTACTGAACACACAGACTAATGAAATACTATCTGTAAAATTATCTATGTAAACAAACCTCATCACTTGAGAAGGTAGGTGATGCGGACGTCGTGGAAGACATTTTGTCCCGTAACGCTCGCCGTACTGTTGGGGGGGAGAAGTTCATGTTGCTGTGGTCTGCAGTCTGGACGTTATATGTCACTGAAAATTACACACTGTAGCTTAAAGGTTAGCAGGGTTCTGAAATATTAACATAACAGGGGCTATGTTGACATTTGCAGCATCTTATAAGTATTGTTCTCAATCTCATTATAATTTTGTAATGTAATTGTTTATATGACTTGTATATAAAGTGTACTCTTATAAATTGTTACACTTCAAATCTCTGACAAACAGCTTTACAACAGGCTGGTTAACTACTGGTATTTTTCAAAATGAGTTATCAATATATTTAGGCTTATAATTACAAATTAAATATTTATCAAGAATTTTTTTTTCCTCTCTTTTCATAATTATTGGGAAAATATATAAACACAGCTAAAAAGAATTACCTGAAACTGAACCTCTAGCAGCATGAAATAAAAAAATAGGCTTAAAAAAATTCCCAAAGTTCTCAGAAAATGACGCATCCAGTCCAGATCTAGAGAAATTAACAAACAGGAGGGCAAAATATCTGTTAATATTTACTGGACTCTAAAGGGTTTTTAAAGCCTTGGAACTTGAAGGGGTTCTCCTTTAAAATCTATTTAAACATCAAAAAGACTCAGTGTGTGGGTTAGTTTAATAGGTATGCTACAGGCACAGCTAACCTAACTACTGTCCAAATATCAAACAAAAGATTTCCATTACTTTGATGAGTTTCTAAGTTCAGTATATATAACAAGGTTTTAAGCCATTTAATTAGATTTTGATTCCATAATAATCCTTGGATGACATTCAGTTTGAATTGATGCAGTGGAGATTTTCTCATTGTGTGTTGCCTCTGCTAGGTCACCCATGCTTCCACCTGTTCCTAATGCTGTCAGTATGAGAACAAATAATCCTCAAAAATTATTTGCTTAACTACTAGATGACTTTAAAGCGCTAACACAGTTTGCTAGTGTTGATGAAAGTACCTGTTTATGTAAAACATCATCTGGGAAGTTTCACCTTCTTCCTACGATGGAGTATTAGGGCCAGTCTAGAGATTATTTTTTTTCCAATATTCAAGTAATAAGATTATGAGAATAAAGTAATAAAATTACAAAAATAAAGTCCTAAAATTACAAAAATAAAGATGTAACATTACGAGAATAAAGTCTTAAAATCATGAGAATAAGTCATAAAATTTCAAGAATAAAGTTGCAACATTATGAGAATAAAGTCCTAATGTTGCAAGAATAAAATTGTATTTTATGACAACTCTTACAAGAAGCACTTTTTTCCCTGAAATGAGGAATGTTGAGCTTCATGTTAAGTTATACTTTGACATCGGTTTGACAAATAAGGAAATATTAAGTCTTTTAGCACACCAGCATTAAATCAGGCGGTTTGTCAAAGTGGACTCAGGTTGCTGTTCGGGGGTTCTGTTCAGCCGTCACATGCTGGTCGGAGCTTGAAGCTTTCTGTCTGAAACGGGTTGTGGTGTGATGACTTCATTCTCATTATTTTTCAACTTTATTCTTGTAATATAATGACTATTCTCAAAATAAAAAAAAATAAAAATTCTCTAGCCTGGCCCTAACACTCCATTGTATCTTTCATATCATGCCCCACTGGAGAGTATTTTCTGTACATGATATTTTACTTCACATCATTGTTAAAAAAAATTTTCCTCAGGTTTCCAATTTTGAATATTTTACGAGTGCTTTAGTCGGTGTAACATTGCTTCTTAAAACAACATTGTGTCAAAAACAAGCATTTCAAAAGAAGATGTGAGAGGTTAGCTACAGTATCTAACCTCTAAGAGTATTTTTGACAAGATATTACACTGTAGAAATTTTTTTTCTTAACATCCTTGCCATGATCAATTATGTAGGGTTTTATTTTTGACAGTGAATCAGTTTACATAATATAACAAATCCCTTTTTTTGTCTTGTTTCTTAAACACAATCACAAATTCTGGAGCAGAAACAGTATTTCAAGACTTATTTTCAGATATATATTCCTAAAAGATGTGGAAAAAATCACAGTATTGTAATGCGAAAAAATTCACAATTACCATCAATTATCATTCACTTATTCTACCATATTTGTGTCTCTGCATTAAAATAAATAATACTAAAAATCTAATGCTTTGATTAATTTTCAGGTTAACAGTGATATTAATGATAGTAAGCTATTAAAAAAGTCAGAATTTATTTATTTTTTGACAGAACCACTAAGGTTTTTTTTTTTAGAGGTTATCACTATCTGATTGTCACAGCAGTGCATGCCATCTAGTATTTATGTCTTTTATGCTTCCATCTGTACTTGCAGACCAACGTGAATCTCATGCTAATTATTCATTGATAAGTGACAGCAATTCCAATGATTATTTATGTGCATAGCCTATTAAAAACAAAACATTAATCTTGTTTGTCTGTAATATGGATCTTTTTTTTTCCTTCATTATCTTTTGCATGTCTGGCACAGACTGTAGAAACTCAGCATTCACAAAAGTTTTTTTACGAACTGCTTTAAAAATGACAGCATAGGTTTTCATATACAGGTGCTGGTCATAAAATTAGAATATCATGAAAAAGTAGATTGATTTCAGTAATTCCATTTAAAAAGTGAAACTTGTATATTATATTCATACATTACATACAAACTCATATATTTCAGATGTTTATTTTGTTTAATTTTGATGATTACAAATGACAACAAATGAAAATCTCAAATTCATCATATCAGAAAATTAGAATATTACTGAAGACCAATAAAAACAAAGGATTTATAGAAATGTTGGCCAACTGAAAAGTATGAACATGAAAAGTATGAGCATGTACAGCACTCAGTATTTAGTTGGGCCTCCTTTGGCCTGTATTACTGCAGCAATGCGGCGTGGCATGGAGTCGATCAGTCTGTGGCACTGCTCAGGTGTTATGATAGCCCAGGTTGCTCTAATAGTGGCTTTTAGCTCTTCTGAATTGTTGGGTCTGGTGTATTGCATCTTCTTCTTCACAATACCCCATAGATTTTCTATGGGGTTAAGGTCAGGAGAGTTTGCTGGCCAATTAAGAACAGGGATACCATGGTCCTTCAACCAGGTACTGGTAGCTTTGGCACTGTGTGCAGGTGCCAAGTCCTGTTGGAAAATTAAATCTGCATCTCCAAAAAGTTGGTCAGCTGCAGGAAGCATGAAGTGCTCTAAAACTTCCTGGTATGTGGCTGCGTTGACCCTGGACCTCAGAAAACACAATGGACCAACACCAGCAGATGACATGGCACCCCAAACCATCACTGACTGTGGAAACTTTACACTGGACTTCAAGCAACGTGGATGAAGTGCCTCTCTTCTTTTCCTCCAGACTCTGGGACCTTGATTTCCAAAGGAAATGCAAAATTTACTTTCATCAGAGAACATGACTTTGGACCACTCGCCAGCAGTCCAGTCCTGTTTCTCTTTAGCCCAGGCAAGACGCTTCTGACGCTGTCTGTGGTTCAAGAGTGGCTTGACACAAGGAATGCGACAGCAGAAACCCATGTCTTTCATACGTCTGTGTGTGGTGGTTCTTGAAGCACTCACTCCAGCTGCAGTCCACTCTATGTGAATCTCCCCCACATTTTTGAATGGGTTTTGTTTCACAATCCTCTCCAGGGTGCGGTTATCTCTCTTGCTTGTACACTTTTTTCGACCACATCTTTTCCTTCCCTTCGCCTCTCTATTAATGTGCTTGGACACTGAGCTCTGTGAACAGCCAGCCTCTTTAGCGATGACCTTTTGTGTCTTGCCCTCCTTGTGCAAGGTGTCGATGGTCGTCTTTTGGACAACTGTCAAGTCAGCAGTCTTCCCCATGATTGTGTAGCCTATAGAACTAGACTGAAAGACCATTTAAAGGCTTTTGCAGGTGGTTTGAGTTAATTAGCTGATTAGAGTGTGGCACCAGGGGCCATCAATTTTGAACCTTTTCACAATATTCTAATTTTCTGATATGATGAATTTGAGATTTTCATTTGTTGTCATTTGTAATCATCAAAATTAAACAAAATAAACATCTGAAATATATGAGTTTGTATGTAATGTATGGATATAATATACAAGTTTCACTTTTTAAATGGAATTACTGAAATCAATCTACTTTTTCATGATATT